AGTATGTTATATACATAAATTATAAATGTTTTAAGGGGAAGACTTTAGCCAAGTTTCATTAAAATCGTTGCAGTCGTATTGGTGCGTCAAAATTTCAATGAAATCTGTAAAGAATTTTTTGAGATTAGCTGTTTGAACAAATTACTAGTTATATTTGTATTTACATACGCTATTTCATATATTTATTAATTGATAACACTATTAAGTTCGTCAATAGCTATTAAACAAAAAAAGAAGGAAGAAAATCGGTTGAATAATAGAGGAGAAAAAGGGGCTGAACCGTTTTGTGTTTGTCTGTTTATATAATATAATATAGTCCATAACTTTAGCTGGTGATTTCAATCGAGATAAACATTTTCAAATAAATTTCTTTTAGTCTAGAACTGGCATAGTTTCCTACGACGCCAAACATCAGCTACGGACGTCTGCCTTCATCTAATTTAATTATTGTTCTAACACAAATCATTTCTCCTATGAATACATGTTGGAGAACTAAAATACGAATCGGTTTCATTTGATAACAGAAAATCATTTCTGGATTATTGTTTTTAGTATTTCTGGATTATTGTGTGAGTAATTTTAAGGAAAATTATAGAAACTGTTTTGATATTGAATATATCTGTTTAGGGGCATATGGACATGAGGCCTCAAGCGCATAGTTGGAATCAGCTATCTGAGAGTGGAACCGTGGTGGTATGGATATTTTAGATTTCACAATTTTTATTTGTTCAAAAACGGTTCTGATGGCTCCTCATCTTTGTAGATCTAGATCCTTTGTAATAACATTATGTGAGAAGTGTAAACTAATTAGCGTGTTACAGTTTAATTTAAAAACTTTTTGTATTACTAGAAAATGCACCTTGTTATCAATAAATATGTTCAAATAAAATCCTGTGAAAAGGGAAAATGATGAGTGATAATCCCAGACTTGTACGTTGGAACTATCTTTTATGTAGCTAAGAATACTTGCATGATTGATTTCGCCCACTCTTGAGTTGCACGCGTCAGAAGTGAAGTGAGTAATTTGCACTATTTTTTCTCTTTTGTAATACAGGATGTCTGTAATTATTTAACCTCCAACTATTTTTCCTTGAGGTCGAACTAAACTTTTAAATGTATCAGCTCAGAAGAATTTTGAAAAAGGGAAGAGTATCCGCAGTTATTTATTTATTGAAGTAATTAACAATGCGTTCTTTTTGCGAACACTTTAAGCTTTTTTGTTTAAATACTTTCAAATGGTTCAACTACGAACTAAATTAAATTCTTTGAAGCAGTAACGGATTCTATGTTCCTCAGTTTTTCTCCCAATTTTAAAGAAATTTACTTTTTGTACACGTCTTTTGGACTTCTCAAATATCAAATATGGTTACACACATAGTTTTTGTATTTATTTTTTTAATTAAGATACATTAATTAAAGTCGAATCATCACTGCATCTATTCTTCTCAAATTTTCAAGGCAAATTCTAATACGAAAAAAAAGAACCTATTGAAAAAAAAAACAATTCGGTTAACTTCACGCGTAATTTCCAAAAGGATTTGAAAAATTTAAATATGAATTGTAATCATTGGAGGGAAGGTAGTTACTGAAGCCTGTTATAAGTAGATAAAGGTTTTCAAAATGCAATTTAAATAAATCTAGACTTAAGTATCTCATCCAGTTTAGCTTAGCACCACACTCTAATCTTGTGCATGAAAATCTTCTATATTATATTTATTGCTAAAAAATACTAAAAATTCCAATATATAATAAAAATTAATAATTAAGTGATGCATTCGTGCCATTTATATTTTGAGTTTCATTTCTTTTTCTTTTTTTTTTTTTGTTATTATTTTATTGTTTTTTTTTTTTTTTGTTTTGTTAGTGGCGTAAAACTACATTTTTTTGCGATTATTACTTTATTTCATTTATTTATTTACATAATTACTTAAATTTTCATTCTGCAGCAAATTCATAGACATATCTTTAAAACGACATATATTAAAGATGGTCCGGGGTTGCGGTCATAAATAGGCTAAATAGTGGTAAAACTATTTTATTGAAAGCCGACGTTTCGACCCGACTTTGCAGGTCTTCTTCAGGGCTAAGACACAAAAAGATAGAGAATTGTGGCAGTTACATAATAGTTAGACATAATTTATAAACAATGTGAATAAGCTTATTGAAATTACAAACAGTAAGTACAATAAAATATGAAACAAAATAAGCTAAGTAACAAGACCCTAAACTGAAGTAAATAGATGCTAACAATTGTTGTAGTTTAATATATAATAAATGAAAATGTGAATATACTTCTACAAATCTACAGGAGAGATTGAAAGAAAAGGAAAAAGGATATAATATGAAATAATTGACATAAAGGAATGAAAAGAAATATTTATATTATATATTGTAATTTATTTAAATAAATTTCAAATAAAGGAGGATCAGAAACAAAAAAAAATATTATACTATCTATTTACACTTAAGTTTATGCCTCACAGTTCAGTATAATAAAAATCAAAATTTTTATTTTTATTATAATGACCTGTCGGGCATAAATTTAAGTAAGTAATAAATTTAAGATATTATAATATAGGGTCAAACATTTTATTTAAATACTACGCAAAGAATATTATTTTAATGTTATTTATAAAGAAAACATCAGATTATTGTATCGTTTTATTGACCCATATTTCATATATAATTGTAAGCTCCTGATATAATTGTCAATACTCCATCCGTTACAAAATTCTCTTCCGTCATTTGTATCGCTGGGTATAAATAGAATTAACGCAACGTGGGTACCATCACCACACTGATACGATTGCGTTTACACGTTTTGTTGCTGATACCATAATTATCAAAAAAAATCGTTACAAATAACTTAGATAAAAATTCATTTTCGTGAATTATACAAAAAATCAAATATTTCTGTATGCATATATTTCGGATAACTTAGGCACTAGGAAAGATTAGTGCAAGTGAAGAACTTGGAAATTGGGTACGACTTCCACCGCACCGACGTATTGCAAAAAATATTGTATTATTCATTTGATAAGATCTTAATTTGTGATTAGAAGATGTAGATTTTAAATAAACACTACGTCAGCTGATCCTTAACACATCTTTCAAAATCTGACCGTTAAGAAATCTCCATTTTGTTTCGGCATGGATAAAGGAAGAAATATAGAATAGTTCATATTTTAATGTAGAACAATCTGTCCGAATAAGTAAATTACTCTTATTACCTTAAAGCGGATTTACTCATTTGAATAAAATATTATTACTACTAATACTACTGCTATGTTACGGGAACCTTTCGTGAGGCCCTAGTCAAGGCCTGAACTTTGGGCCGAAACGTCGGTAAAAATAAAAGTAAATATCATTTATTTAATTTTACTTTGTATTTTCGGAAAGCTCCTATCAGTAAAACGAAAATGTACCAATTCATAACATTTTTGGTTATTCAGCAAAGAAGTATTATTTCTTCAGCAACTTTTTTAAAACTAGGTCATTTGGTCAGCATTCATACTCATTAGCAGATTCTTTTACGAGCCCAATGAAGAACCAGGGTACCAGGGTATGAACCATGAGCCTCTCGACTATAGAGAATATCTAGAATCCATCATACTTAATAAAAAAATTCTATAATTTTACCAACCCCACATCTGCTCATTTTTAAAAATTAATTTTGTGATTAATATTCACACAGCAATATATAACACCTATGGGGAACAATAGCTAAAGGAAACCATGTGATGGGAAGTTTCTCGAGTTCCGCTATAGAGGTACCAATTTGATATATTGTGAATATCAATGAAAGCCAACCCGAGACCATATGGTTTAGCGATGCGGTGAGACAGCTTCCGCAGTGCACCATTTAGGGACCATGCCACCATGATCTGAATGTCAAGCGCGGCCGGCACTCCCAGATCGGAAGGAAGGGGTACCGCACGGAGGAAGGGATCGCTGCTGGTTCGGTTATTGAATAAGATCTAACGGGTCTGCAGCCATCTATGGCTGTCATGGCATCAAGTAGCAGCGGGTGAGTAGATTGATGTGGCTACTTCCAATGGCCAAGAAATATATCTTGGAAATAATATATGTAGAAATATATATATATATATATATATATATATATCCACGCTAACATAATTTTTAAATATTTTAAAGAAAAATATTATGTTTCGTACGAAGCATCCTGGCAGGTAACCAAATAATCCCTAAAACTTGCTCCTACCAACAATAGATAATGGCTACTCTCACACATAATGGCTCTTAACCAATGATTTTATGTTAATTTAAGCGGAAACACCAACAGACTAATCAGAAACATGGCTACAGCTGTCGTGACCCTTCCCTAACCAACTAAGTACTCGTCGGGATAAAGGTACTGTTGGATACTTTTTACCTGACTTTTCATTATTCTACACAGCTGGTTGTCAAAAATTGGATAAAATTGATGATAAAAAAAGTAAGTACGGAAATACACACACAAACTAAACTGCAAATACTTGAAGTTGTGTGCTGTGGAAAATAGTGGATGCACACCATTTCAGTGGTAAAATCATCTATATTACCCAGTAATATTTAAACATTTAGGACCAAGCCTGATCATACGTTTTCTTTAATCTTCAGTTTTAATATATTCGTTTTCGCTTTTGTTTTACCTGATCCAGCATTTAGCATTAATACAGAAGCAGAAATAGTTTAGTCAATTTATAAAGATGTCTAATAAAATAAAGGCTAACAGAGTGTATACAAAAGTCTAAGATGGTTCTTTTCACGCCAACGTAGAAAGCTCAAAAATCAAAGATAAGAGATTTGTACAGGATCTTAGGAAATTCGGAACATCTTTTGCTCTTTTGCTAACTCGGGCAGGAAATGGCTGGAATCCGAAAGTTGGCAAAGAAGACTGGTCCTAATTAAGCCGTTTTTATGTTCGGATATGTATGCATAAAGAAGTTATATTGTTAAATGTGCATTGTTAAGTAATGTCATATGTAATTATAAACAGACATAATCATTGATCGGTAATACAAAACATGTAATTTTCTAAATTTTCAGCGTGATATTATGCAACTAGGACTAGTAACATGAATCAAGGGATAGTAGTAATAAGAAATATGGTGAAATATGATAAATACATGAATCTGACTAGTTAAAATGAAAAGTGAAACATAATGGGAAAAACAAATGAGATATTTAAGAAAACTTAGTAAAACGTAAACGAACTAATTGATTAAAGGTAAGGGAAAACTTTTGTCTGAAGAAGAGGACAACAATATTGGAAGTGAAGAGAAAGGTAGAAATAGAGGATGAGGGCTGTCGACGGAACGTAATCAACAAAGTTATAACGCATTGGCTTTTCTTACGGTCTTGTCTGTTAGTATACACTTCACAATGTGTGATAAAGACGTGAATGCCTTAGTTTTAGACACAGGCTCTGGTGTATGCAAAGCCGGTTTTGCTGGAGATGATGCACCTCGAGCAGTGTTCCCGTCGATGGTTGGTAGGCCAAGACACCTGGGTGTCATGGTTCTTATGGGCCATAAGGACAGTTATGTCGGAGACGAAGCCCAGAATATGAGAGGCATCTTAAGCTTGAAATACCCAATCGAACACGGTATTGTTACGAACTGGGATGATATGGAAAAAATTTGGCATCATACTTTCTACAACGAACTTCGAGTAGACCCAGAAGAGCACTCAGTTCTCTTAACTGAAGCACCTTTAAACCCTAAAGCAAATAGAGAAAAAATGACACAAATAATGTTCGAAAAATTCAACACTCCTGCGATATATGTTGCCATTCAGGCTGTCCTGTCTCTGTATGCTTCTGGACGTTTAACTGGTATAGTTCTAGATTCTGGAGATGGTGTTTCACACACTGTACCAATTTATGAAGGTTATGCTCTACCTCATGCCATTCATAGATTGGATCTTGGTGGGCGTGACCTCACTGATTACCTTATGAAGATTCTGACTGAAAGGGGATACTCCTTCACAACTACTGCTGAGAGAGATATTGTGAGGGACATTAAGGAAAAATTGTGTTATGTAGCGCTTGACTTCAAGCAGGAAATGATCACTGCTGCCAGTTCAAGTTCCCTTGAGAAATCTTATGAACTTCCTGACGAACAGGTTATCACAATTGGAAATGAAAGGTTCCGATGCTCTGAAGCTCTTTTTCAGCCTTCTTTCCTAGGAATGGAAGCATGTGGAATCCATGAGACTACTTACAACTCAATAATGAAATGTGATGTAGATATTATTGAGGATTTATATACTAACATCGTTCTCTCTGGAGGCACCACCATGTACCCTGGTATTGCAGATAGGATTCGGAAGGAAATCACTGCCCTTGCTCCTTCAAAAATGAAAATTAAAATCATTGCTCCACCTGAAAGGAAATACTCGGTATGGATTGGTGGATCAATTCTTGCCTTCCTTTCTACCTTCCAGCAAATGTGGATTTCTAAACAGGAATATGACGAATCTGGTCCTAATATTGTTCACAGGAAATGTTTCTAAAAACGGATGTCATTGCATATAATACCTACTTTTTCTTCCTTTTTAAGCTCTTTCGCTCTGCTTATTTGTTTGTATTATAATGTATATTATTTTATAAACTTATTGTTTCATTTCTTTTTAACACATACTACTTAAATCCCACTTGAAATTCAAAAACTTACAAATAATCAGTGAAGAGTTTACACAACATTATATTGACACCCTAGGAGAGACAGTGCACTCTAGGGTATGAATTCCTAATGTAGAAAAAAAAAAACCTGTTAAAAAGGAATTCCAGAATACGGCCAGAGGACAAGTGCACTTATTTTCGTCACTCTGCAGGATTCTAATAGTTACGCTTTCATCCTGTACGGAAAAATTATCAGACTTCTTTCGGGAATTCGATAACACAAGCTTAAACAACCATTATTTCTTAATGCTCCATTTCATCATTTCCATTAACATACTTCGTGTTAGTTCGAATGTATTTCGGTTTGCGTTGAGGCGGTGGTGGCCAAGAATGGTAAGGTGTTACCTTAATAACATCCTGTTGAATTCCATGTAATTCAATAGTTTGCGTAACACTTACACTAACGATTCATGAATGGAATTTTTAGGAACTTAGATTCCTGTTTTATCATGATTGATTATCTCTTGGTTTTTTTCTTAGGCCAAAACACAAAATCCATCAAAATCAGAGTGCAGTGAATCAATGGGTTACCTTAAAATTTCATTTTCTAAGTTTATTTTCTCTCTTCCTATACTTTATTTCACTTGGAATCAAAACTTGTTAATTGATTTTCGCTAGTAGTTTGGATTTTGAGCATTCTCATAAAACCCACTCATCCTCATCTTTTTCTTTATGGCATTGGCTTTTCCATAAAACTAAAAAATAAGAAAAAGGATAAGTACTGGGTGAATCTTTCGGTTTTTGTTAGTAGTTCGAATTATTTTAAAATATCTCCAGTTCTCATTGCCTTATCTGACAATAATGATACTTATCGGAAATGTTAAAGTCTATTCTTCTAATCTGTTGTGTTTGGTTTAATTGGCATTAATTTTGAACCAAGCACTGCTACACAAACGCCCAGAACTATTCAATCGTAAAGGTGTTGTATTCCAACATAGCAACGCCAGACCACACTCCGCAATAATCACACAGTAAAAGTTACTGCAACTTGGCTGGGATGTTTTACCGTATTCTGGTTCTTCCGAAAATCCCTCATCGGGAGATCGTTCACCGATAAGAGACAGGTGAAAACGTGTCTCCATCAGTTTTTCGCTTCTAATCCCGAGTTGTTTTACGAAAACACAATAATGAAATTGTTAGAAAGAGGTCATTAATAAAAATGGCAAATACATTATAGACTAAAATTAATTCTTTGAATGAACCATGTTTTATTTCATCCTTCAAAAACTTCTTTAGCTCTAGGTTAAACCTACTTCTCCATCAATCCTCCAATTTATCTCGTAAATTTTTCGGAGTACTTTTCTTCTCCATACATGAAGCATCCATTTGCTTTCTTTAATTATGGTCCATATTACGCTTCCATTTGTCACAATAGGCCTCAGAATTGTTTTATATATTATTCTTTTTGCCTTTTTGGACAAATTTTACAAGTTCAGCAACTTCTATTCACTGTAAAGACATAGATTCCCTGGGGCTATACGGTCTTTACATTTCTCTACTTGGTTCTTGCAAGTGATCTTGCTTTCTAGTTATTTGAATTCGTCACAGCTCTCGAATCTCCAATTCCCTATCTTCATTTACATCATCTGGTCTGTTCTTGATGTCCACATATACATGCGCTTGTCTGTATTAATTTCCAGCCTAGTTCTCTAGCTTCCCTGAGGAATTCTTCATGAGCACAGGTTGAAAAGCACCGTTGAGAGCGGATCTCCTTGTTTAAAACGCCTTCCTATTTTGAATTTTCTTAAGAGCCTCCCATTGAAAAGCACTCTACTGGATGTATCTTTCAGTGTCATTCTGACCAATCTTATTAATTTCTTTTAATTTCTTTCGTAGTTTTAGTTTAAGTTTGTAGTTTTTCGAGTAGCTCAAACTTTTTTCCATCATAACTGAATGATATGCTTGTCTGGAGCTATCCCATAGGACGAGATAAAGAAACGAAATGGAATTGTTTTTCTTGTTCAGAGGTCACTTGTGATTACATAATATAACAAAAACATAATCTGGAGTGATAGGTGAGGAGAAATATCTCAAACCCATTTGCTGAGCTGATTTGATATGATATTGTTTGTGCAATATTTTCAAAATACATTGAAAAAATGAAAGAAACATTCGCCTAGTACATTGGTATAGCTTCATCGCCATTTCTTTTAGGTATGTAAAAAAAAAAAAAAAATCCACTCTATTTGTGAGAAAAATAGATTCTTATACTCATGACAAACGTTTGTTTTACATTCTTCATGAATACAACAGTTCCTTTTCTTCGGTAGCGAAAAAAAAAATATTAACGGTGAGGAGAAACAATAATGATTTCCTATACTATTTTCTTTTGTCGGAATGACTGTAGATTTCCATGAAATACAGGATTGTTATCATATAGATTAATTACACGTAAACATCATATACTTGTATTTTATTCACAGTATTTTTGGATTCTTTCTTGGTTGTTAAGTTGTTGCATATATCTTTATATATATATATATATATATATATATATATATATATATATATTTTTTTTTTTTTTTTTTTTTCTTGACGTTATCTTTCTATCTTCAATCTTCTGCCGTGTGCTTGTTATCTGTGACCCAGGTCCAGCTAAGGCCATTCAATTTGATCGCTACCGTGACTTGATACCGTTGGACAAATTTCAAATGATTATATCTATGTAATTGTTAATATTTATATCAGTTTTATTTGTTAAGTAATTTTTTAATAAAAATATACAAATGGTGATTAACAGTACAAATAAACTTTAAATTAATTTTAAAAGTTTTCTCACCTGTACCAATTTTCCCTCTTAATTCTATAAGGTGTATCTCCTTTATTTATTTTCATTTTTACGTTCCTTCAACATATTAATATATCTATATGACTTTCTTTAAATCTGATAAAGGAAGGTCGTCGTATCTTGTTTATAGATAACAGAAAATCGCTAAAAAATAAGATGTATCTCGAAACATCACCTCCTAAGGAAATTGACTGTAAATTAATTTCGTGGAACTATTAGAGGTTTTTCAGTTACGTCTTGTTAGGACGTCAGTAACATCCCTATCATTAGGAACTTTCTTGGTTCAGACCCACCACAATTAGCTGGCAGCATGGCACTGAGATTTCTCTTCCATGTTTATACAAACATAGCTGTCCATAAGAACCGCTCGGCCTACAAAGACACAAGCGAGGAATTAATTCCAATGTACACCGAGGGGAGAGGTCACGTCCCACCAATGCTCCCATGCGGTTCCTAAACCAGGGCACTTTCTTCTTACATAATTCATTCGGTGGCTGACCAGTTCGTACCTAATCCAGCCGATCAGCGGCAGGACGGGACATGGTAGATAGTCCGCTACCAGTGCTATCTCGATATCTGGTTCATGACGTTCGTGACTGCTGGCTCTTGTAGCGCATCATCTTTGTCGGCGATATTGTCGGGGTTTATTGAATTGTTTTATCAACCAGCTGGGGGTCATTAGGATCGGTTTTTTAACAACAATATGCTCAGTTGTACCATTTACTTGTACCTATTATAGATACTGTTAGAATTGGCTGTGTTACTAAAAAAAATATACGTGTTAAATAAGAAGCAATCAGTAATAATGAAATGATTATTATTTAAATTTATTTTATCTCCGGGAATCTAAAATAAGCTACATTTTATTAAATGATTCATTGCCTAGACCTTGTAGACAGTGCTATAGTGAATATTGGAAATATATTTTGCCCGTCGGTCTGATTTTACTGTTAAATGTAAAATATTTTACATAGATTTATTTCACTTTATTGGTGGGGGAAAACATGGGGAACGTCTCTCCTCTCTATTTACTTCATTTTTTGTTTACCTTTTGCTGTAAATTTAACACATAATGTAAAATATCCATTTACCTGCAATAACGTCTTGTAGGTTCTGTACATTTATGTCTTTGTTTATCTATAAGATAAAAGAAGAGTGTTGAAGATTTGAATTTTTTAAAAAATATTTTAAGTTATATATGCCTTTTGTCGTAGCCTATGGTCCTTCAAATCTAAAAAAGTCGTTTTGAAAAATGTCATTTGTTGTCATCCCCTATTTCTTAAGAGCGCTTCTTCTCTTGGACTGGTTTCACAGGATTTAGTTGACTCAACTAATTGCTTCCGCGAATGAGGGGTAGAACGAATAGGCTTTTTAGGTACAATCTGCCTCTTCCTCTTCAAGCATGGTCAACTGAAACGCTTATGGTGTACAAACGCCACATGCCTCGCTGACATTCTCCCACTAACTAATTGACTCAACTCTAGCATCAATGTCAACTAACCCTAATTAAAAGTATTATTTTGTTAGTACTTCATAGATCATTTTTACCAAGTATTTTACTCAAATTGAATTTATATTTGGAATTCAATCGCTACTTCACTTAAACGTTTGACACCATATGAATTAGTAATTAAATTATTTGGAACTCAAAAAAGATCAGTACTCAGTGTAGCATTAGCCCATCTTTGTTTCTATTTCATTAAACCAATGCTTAAATGATCTAGCATTCGGCGCGGTGGGCAGTACCAGCGAAATAGGACCTTTAAGCAGGTATTTGTTGGTTGGTAATTGTTACTAAAAAATAAAGATTCGATTCAAAGGCCTTCTATCTTCAATCAAAATATCATTATTAGTATTAATTCATTGAATTTAATATGCCCGAGTCCATTAGTTTACTAATATTAGAATCAGATAATTACAATGTCTTTGAATCCTGTTTATTTAGAACAGCAATTCGTTAAATCCGGATAATTCATAGTGTTTTTTCTTTCCGAAAAGAATTCCACCAATGTAGAAATTCACAACTAGTTGAATATCAACAAAACAACACTACATCCTATAAAACTAACCTTGAAGTAATGGAGTGTATTTTATTTATATATACATATATATCCAACGTTTATTTCAGAGTCCTTTAAATTTGCCCTATCAATATCAACTCATACCAAGGTAAAAGAAATAACTGGCACTGGACTGAGAAAATTTATTTTCCTTATATTATAATTTTCATAGCAAAATTTAAATAATTTTAAGATTTGTGGTAAATTTAAGAAGGTTCCGTTATGTTTGGCAGACTGACTTCTCTCAGACAAAGGAACATTTAACAGACTGAATAATGAATGACTAACATAAAAATACAATGCCACAAATTATGATGCTTACTTGAACAGCCTATCGACTGACGATGGACGTTGTCGTAGGCATACAAAGAATTTGTTAACACATGGAAAGGTGTCTGAAGAATATCTGAATTATTAGCTGACTATTTTTCAACTGTACTTATACCACTTTCTGATTTCTCGATTGTTAAAATAAACGTTTAATTGTAACTAACTGTTTCTTATGACCAACCACTTGTTATGACCAAGTAACTATTGTTACTTTGAATAGAGGAAAAAATATTAACGATTGAATTATAATTAATCTATTTAAAGCGAATAACGTTGGATTGTGTGGAACATGTGTTTCTTTAAAACATTACTGTTACTTAATAAAAGTTAAATGTATCACTGATTTTGCTTTTAGTGTGGTAGCCAATACATTATTTTTCAATAATAATCTTGCCATAGACCCCATACTGTTTTACTTACCTGCTTCCCTCCAATCCCATTATAGGACTTCTTTGCGTTGATATTTCTTTGATATGCCAAATGCAGGTTCTGGTTCAATGAAAGAAATCACCGTACTGTTTCTTGCAAGTTTATCTGCTGTCTCGTTGCCAGCAATTTCCTTCTGAGATAGAACCCATATCAACAAAACGGTTCATACAGCATAAGTTAGAAATTTAATTTTGTTTCTACTATATCTCTTACATGAACATGAAGGCCTTCTGGCCTATTATTTGTTATTTACCTAAAAACTCGCTATGTTACGTAGGAGCACTTAAGACGTCATCCTTCACCAAATAGATTAAAAACCAGGTTGCAAAGTAGTTTCTTTCCGTTTTTATATAGTCATCCGGTTTTCATTTATCAGTACAAAAAGCCTTATGAATTGGAAACTGTTCTCTCAGAATCTTTGGTATAGATAATATTATCAGAATATTACCAGTGAGTAAATAATTTTGATTTTAAAGAAATTTGCTAAAACTCACGTTTGATCCATTCGAATGACCGCTTGGTTCTATAGCTTCTTTATAAAAGTGTAGCCAATTTGTCTAACGGCATCATAGTTCCTGTAAAGTACTATTGGATGGTAAAAATCATATATTTATCCTCGGATAATGAAAGCTCATGTGTTGGATATTGTATACCTCTCTCTAAAGTACATGTTCTGTCCTCTTTGTTATAAATATTGTTCCCGAAACTGTAATATATGGTATCAGATACCGCTCCATTATGTTGTAAGCAGGCATTAGCTACTGCTGGATAATGGCAGTACTCAGAGGCAACTACAGCCTGCTCGGTCTTCTGCTCGAAGTATATGTTCATTTGCTTAGCTTCCTGTCTTGGGTGATATACAGGGGCTATTTTATTCCAGTATCCCTTTAAAAAACACATTTACCGAAATAAGTGAGTATTATGTTTCCTAGATGTTTCTTCCTGTCGGTAGAGACGACTAAATTTTTCAAAATTCAAAATAAAGTAACAAAAAACCTTTAAAATGTATTCGTGAAAATCAGAAAGTAACCCGAATCTTAACTATCTGGTTACCTAACGTGAGTAAAAAAGTTCTGGTTTAGTCCAATTCTACTAAAAAACGTTCCAGATAACGTGAGATTGTTTGGTACCTAGGCTTGTGTTTCAATTCATACAGTCTGAATCAATAGTTCTTCATTTATGATTTGATAATGTACGTCAAATAAAAGCCATCGTTCTCGCCTTCCTTTGATCTGGCTAAAAATTCAACGCCTTTGGACAAAAGTCTTTTAAGTCCCTTAACAAAACCAGCTTTGTAATACGGCTGGAAATTAGCCTGCTAATTAAACGAAAAAGCAAAATTTATTTTAGATGTACAAAAATTCCATCATTAAAATTGAAATAATTGATTGGATCGATTAAAAAAATTATTGTAAGCTGAAAATGTGACATTAATATGCCCAAAAAAGTTCTATAATTGCTTTTTATATCGTCATTATTTACGTGATGCTTTATACACTCGTATAGAATCTACAAAATTATATATTAGTTTACGTGCTTCAAACGCTTTTTATTTAAACATAACTTTAATGCATTAATTAATATATAAGTGTCAGTCTTAACTGTTTTCGATTTGATGAGAGCCTTATTATATAGAAACTATTATATAAGTACTATACAGTATAAACGTTTTTTAATTATTTTTTATAAAACGCCTTTAAATATTACTATACATTTTTTAGTTATTAACGCTACCAAAGACTTATTTATTCCCGAGGAATCTGCTGATATGCAACATAAATTTAATTACTTTTCAAATAAATTAAAATTAACCAAATTCCATATTTGGAAGTTGTTTTTTTATTTGGTCGCCATAAAAAGGATTACTAATTAAATTGTTGTTTACTACTTAGTATTTTATCTTTATAAGATCCACAAGGAATTCTTTATGGCTTTGCTTTTATTATTTCACCTATTTCTGCACTGGATATATAAAAATGAAGTGGTTTAGTTAGATATGAGCATGTATGCTATCTATTACTATTATTATTGATTATGTTATTATTTGTTTTATTTTATTAATAAAACTGTTTTATTTACAGTCACAGATATTGGAGAGGGTAAAGCCTGACCGTGTAACTGTGACCAAGCCTGAGGAAGACCGGCGGCGAAGAACTATTATCGTAGAGAAGAACAGCGCTGGGTCCTATGGGTTTACCTTACAGGTCAGAATCAATAATGTAATTTTGTATATATATATATATATATATATATATATATATATATATATAAATATATATAAATATATATATATTTAAAATAGTATTTAATATATTCATAATATACACCAGAAATCAGCTTCTTTGGCAGTGAGGATCTGATTAGATTCTGAGACGGAAGATAACCCTGAGGATTACATACAAATAACAATTAAGTAACGTTGCTCTCTATAACATGGAGGAGAAATTATACAATTTTTATCAAAATAATAAGAATAAGAACAGTAAAGTTTACAAACTTGTCAGTTGCCGCATGCCACCAGCTAAAATAAATTGTAATTTACCTTAAAAGAATAAATCAGACCTGTTTTAATAATAAAAACGAATGATGAATGGCAAAAAAAAAAAAAATGAGAATGAGATTTTTTGTAACGAAAATCACATTATTTTATATAAATTTAATTTCATAAACTTTATAATATAAAAAGGAAACAAAAAAAAACTATAAAATTATTAATAAATGAGAGTATTATTAGACGTAATGCATTCATATCTATTTGTTTTCATATATTTTTTTGTTTAAAATGTATGTGTAACGACCCTGCATAAACCGTAAATAAAGATAATTTTACAAAGTAAATATTTTAAATTTTATTTGGTTAATTGAGATAGTAAAAAAAAAAAATGCGTTTGCGCGTGCGTTAACGGAAGTGCTGGGTAGAATTAAATAAAATTGATATAGGGCCATCAGACACCAACCGGCACAATTCCTCAAAATTTCATAAAAATCGGATAAACGGTAGTAGGTGATATGCCAGTCACATCGATTTGACTACAGACAGACACCGAACCAAATTTGATCCTTGATGTCCGAAACGTAAAACGCGAGTGAAAATTTTCTATTCTCAGCACAAAATTTTTTTTAACCTCTAGCAGGAATACAATGCTTCAAAAGATCAAAAACAACTTGAATTAGAAACGAAAAATCAATAATACAACTTTTATCTATTGGACATGAAAATTCTTTGAAAATAACTCTGCGTATAGAAAGATATAAATTCAACTTATCATCATTATCAACCCAAAATTACCTTTGGAGTACAGAATTAGTATATAAGAAGCAACTTGTAATAGCTGAAATTTATGGCAATTCGGCTCCCCAATACAAATAAAAAGATGCTGCAAATTATTTCACAATGGTTTATTATTTCCAAACAATTATACATCTAAAGTAACATTACCTTCTAAGTTACAAAGAAAAATAAACAAAAGGTGATTCCAATTATTGGACTAAACTTCTTTTTTAATCATTAGTAATATGCTAAAAAAAAAAAAAAATAGCATTACTTCAGTAATACATTCAAAATTTAAAAACCAAACCAAGGATATAACATTTGGAGTAGAACATATTAAAAAAAACCGGAGATCATATCTTTGCTCCTAATTGTCCGATTTTAACGATTTTTTTTTTTTAATTTTGTAAACTTTTAAAAAACCATATATAATATCAACAAAAATGTAAAAACTTTTCGAGTTATTCGGAATTTAATTTACCATCCCTCGTAACTTTTTTTCCAGCTTCTTTTCGTTGAAGTATGTAATATAGATAAATTTAAAGGGCGTCGAGAAAATGACTTTAGCGAAGTTTCATTGAAATCTGTACATTCGCTTAGGAGCTACAGTCTATAGCAACGCAGGTTTTTCGGCCGCCATTTTGAAAGTTAAAGGCGGAGAGTAATGCCGATGAAGGAGGCAAAATCATCCTCGGGAGACCTCTGATTTTTTATCAAAATTTGAAAAAAAAATCGGTCCAGTAGTTTCGAAGAAAATGCGCGGACGGCGGACGGACAAAAAAAATTTTTATTCGTTTTTCGAATTCTACGCATACTGAAACGTGAAACCTTTCATTTTTGAATTTTGAGAGGGATTAAGTTTTTGAATTTTTTTGTCGATCACAATGTTTCATTATTGAAAATAATAAACCAAAATGGACATGGTGTTCTTTACCTCCGGGGTACAGATATATGTGACATTTTGAAGCTTATTTTGACTACAGGTGAAACAAAGCAGGGATGCTCATCCCCCAAGATCGGTGGCGCATGAACCTTCTTCCACCTCTCCAAAGATATTTTATTGCTCTCTTCTTCTTAAAAAGTGCAAGCAATAGTAGAATTTAAAAATCGTAGATTATATCCAGTTGCACATACTTAACTCTGCTATGTGTTTTTCCTTGTCTTTTGCCTTGAACCTTTTCATTTCGAAAATTTATAACCTTGTCGAAATGTGCCCTAAAAAATTCAAAATGTAACCAAAATCGCCGCCAAAATGTAACCAAAATCGCCCCAAAACCAAAATTTAACCATCGCCACCGCAACTTGGGCCATGAAATCCCCACTCCCTCTCCTCCCCCCTCCTGGCATCCCTGATTTAATCAGTTATGATTTCCAATTTTTCAGCATGATAGTGCATCGTTTGCCGAAAGATAAGAACACCAAGCTCACACTCACTACCTAGGCGTTGTAAAAGTAAAAAAAAAAAAAAAAACAGTCCCTTCTACATTTCCACTTCATAGCTCCCCTTGACCAAGTAACCGAAGGACTTCAGCCGGATTCAACTTCTTTCCAAACGAGAGCTACTTTTGATTCAGTCGGTGGCATGAGGACAAGGATGAGGTCACCAGTATGGCAAGGACTCCCCACCGTAATTGAGTGAAATCTTACCCCATATCTCCTCCGCCAAATAGCCGGGACAACAAAATGGGATTTTGGCTTGTTATGAAGCCGCCAATGCCGGTGACTTTTAAATATTACAAAGATTAATTTATTTTGAAGATAGCTTGAAGACCAGGTTGAAAAATGGAACGGAACAAAAATCCTTCTTTAACTCAATCTTGCAGATATTTGCCATTATTCCACATAACTTGCGTAATACGCATATTTTGAGTGATTTAACTAGGCTTGAAAAAGTTATATTTTTCATAATGTTATAAATTGTTCGCGATTTCTTTTATTATTGGAGTATTGGACTACTAATTCCCCACTTTTAGAACAACTGTGATAAGCGTGAAAACCTTCCTCGTTTAATAAGCTGACGGTCTATTTCTTTTAAGTTTAGGTTTTGTAACAGAATAAGCTGAGAATCATCTCTAGTTTGAAAAAAAAAAATGTTTTGCAGAATTCCGTCTTTTCAAACTATCAATGTTTTCAGCAAAAATAATTGCAATTAATTACTACAGAACAACTATTTCATATTTTTCTATGAGTTGGAATTTATTGTAATAAAGTAATTACGAAAAGTACTTTGTGTTTTTTTATTGATTAAATCTTTTTTAGAAAGTATATGTTCAATTTTTGTCATTTATATTGGTAGTGTACGAATGTTTTTTATACAGATCAGAATTATCAATGAAAAAATCATTATGTGCATAAAAATATTATTAACCATATTATGAAACAATATGTTACACTAAATAGTTACACTAGTTATATAATATTTTGATTTCATGGAGAGAAAATTAATGAAATTATTTAATTTTCTAAAATGTTACTTAATGACAGTTTGTAATAAGTCGATGATATGCTTTTCCATTTAAAAATCCACATTTTCCTAAAATTTCACATAACGCTTCAGACGGTATTTTTGTTTTTTTCTGAATTGTTAACGTTTATGTATAGTAACATTTCCTATGTTACATTACATTGTATATTATATTTTAAACTACATTCTAGTACAATAAATATCATTACTTTTAAGTTAGAAGTACGGAATCAGACGGTGATGAAATTATTGGCAAGAAATTTGCAATGTTTAGCTTCGTTATTTTTTTCTGTGATTCATATATTTATTGAATTGAAAACTATTGCACTTGTTTTGTGGAGAGTGAATTAGATTGAGCCGTCAGGTTTCCGGCGTGTAACGCTAGGGTTAAGTCGGCTAATTGAAGTGTTTCAGCATATCGATCAAAATATCTCAAAAAACAAAAATCGGACCTCCATATTGTTAACAAAGCTAATGTTCATCATAGCATCCTCTTTGTAATGAACAATAATTCAAAATTATATCTTAACGCGACGCCATGTTTGTGAGGCGAAAATTGAAAACAGTGTCGAAAAACAAATTATATAGTTTTATATTATATAATAATAATAATAATAAAAGGCTTAGCAAACCGCAAGGTTCGATGCCGACACCACCAATCGCTTATTACATACCTCCCTCCACCGTTCGCCATCCAAACCCAGTCCCTTCAGATCGGCTTTAATGCAATCTTCCCACCTTCGCTTCGGTCTACCCCTCGGACGCTTACCATTCGGCACAGCAAATATTAATCTTTTAGGAATTCTCTCGTTACTAAGCCCAACAACTTTACAAGCCCATTTTATTCGCCGCGACGAAATTACCTCAATTATATTACCAGGATACAGTTCATGCAATTCGGCGTTGTGTAACCGTCTGAACTCTCCGGTTAACTCATCCTTCTTCGGTCCGAATATTCTACGCAATACTTTATTTTCAAAAACCTTAAGACACTGCTCATCCCTTAATGTAAGCGGCCAAGTTTCGCATCCATAAAGAACTGTAGGCAAGATAATTGTTTTATAGATTCTAATTTTTAAGTTCCGGGACAAGAGGCGCGAACTGAGTAGTTTTGTCACAGAAAAATAACAAGCATTTCCCGCCTTCAGCCTAACCTTAATCTCTTCTTCAATTTCGTTTTTTCTAGTTATCGTAGAACCTAGATACCTAAATTTATCTACCTATTCAAACATATTACCATCTATATCGATATCACCAGTAGTATCGCCATTTTTGCAGCTAACCATATATTTTGTTTTATCCACGTTTATTTCAAGTCCTAGTTTTTTTCCGGCTTTCATTAACGTTGTCGTATTTAGTTTTATAGTTTCAACGTCTTCGCTTAACAGTACCAGATCATCCGCATAGCCCAGCGGTTCTCATTACCTCCCTAATGGCATGTTCTAATGCCAAATTGAACAGTACAGGCG